GACGGGTGCTCTGGTGTGTTTTGCTTCTTCTTTCCTATCAAACATCTATCCTCTTTATCTCCCCTCCTTCTTTTTTGTGTTTGTTACTCTCTTGTAACACCTCTAATCTTCTGGCGCTTATATGACCTTTTGCAGTTGCAAGCGCCGTAAAACCTCTACTAAAATAAAACTAAACTAAAAATGGGTTGCTTGTTTTAATGATGTTATATTTCTGTTTTTTGTTTTGGTTCTGTGTGTGTGTTTATCATTGTTTTGTGTGTGGCTTTGGGGCCGGTCCCCACAAGTCTTGAAATTCTACTTTGCTGCCTCTCAGTTGTTTCTGTCTCTCCATCATAGTACATACTTGTTTCTTCCGACTATTTTGTTTTCTTACTTTTACTGTGGGTGGTTGGCGGGTGCTCTGCTCCGTCCGTATCCCTCCTTCATTTGTATGTATGTTACTCTCTTGTAACACATCTGTTCTTCAGCTCTTATATGACCTTATTGTGTTGCAAGTGCCGTTAAACTTTTTCTAAAACTAAACTAGGAGTAAGAGTCTGCGATGTAACAACAGTTAGACACTTCAATGAGCCATGCAGAAGTGAATTCACTTCTGGTGTGAGGAAATATTTTCGTAATACCGGTACATGTAATTAGTAGAATATCCCGGTCTGCTGGGACGTTTTGTCCCTCTCAGTCTAGGTTGGCCCTAAAATAGAAAATTCTGACATTTTCATCTAAATCAAAGTCTGTTGAGATCTGGGACCCACTTTTTGAAGAGGGAAGAGCGGTCAAGTTGTTGGTGTCAGTTATGTAAATTAATACATATACCACCATACTTAACTGGTGGGAACTGGCAATGTGGTGCCATCTGTTACCGGTATGTAAAATCTATTAAGAAATTATCTATATATTTGAAGCTGTTGAAAAAAACGTCTCCCACAGAATAAGAACTCTTTAAGTCAAACAGTTTTGTTTTTGTTGCTTTTTTCTTTTTCTTCTGATTACACACAAAAAGATGCACAAAATGTCCATGAACTGTGAGCATTATGTAATACGTTTTATTATTTTGATCCTACATTCGACGGTCACTATAGAGTGAAGTGAAAAAAGAAAAAGCCCTTCCTGTGAAATACTGTCAAAAGACTGGGTCCCTAAAGGGAAGGTGCTTCTGAAATGGGGCATTTTTTTCAAATTTGCCGTGTACTACTGTGTACAAAAAACAACATTTGCTGTTATGTGCAAAACTGAAACTGTCTTCAGTGTAATTGAGGGTAATGGTGAAGGATTTGAATAAGATTAGGACCATCATCCCTTTATCTATGGCAACCTAGAAAAGAAGTAGAAGAATAATATTATGTGAAGGTTGCTTTTTCCACACTATTTGTAGGTACCGCAGGTGAGCCGTTTTCAAGGCAGACAGCTACGGCTGCAGCCAGATTTGGACTACTTCATCCAACTATTAGCTGGTTTTAATTTTTGTAAACACTAATAAAAACTATACCACTGTTTTCTGTGTCTTTCCTTCTCCATGGTGAACGAGAAACTGATACTTATGATTGCATATATTTAGTTTTTAATTGACTTAAGTTTAACACGGGAAAACTCGGCCGTCTCGCAATTTTGCGCGCTTAGATTTGGGGGGGGGGGGGGATACTTGTTTTAAATTTCGATTTCTCAGTCGTGAATCATCGAATTTTCTTGCGGTTTGAAACATTTTAAAATGTGAAATTCTGACTTACTGTAATGAAGTGAAAATACACGTTTTTATCTTTGTGTATTTACTACACTATTCTATAATGGTTTATTTGCTACTTACGGTATGTAATGTGATCTACCGCGGTTCTGGAGACTCCATTTTTTCCTTGTTTCCTTGACACGTGACAACAATCCTGCAGACAGGGATCATCCAGCAACAGACGTGCTTACACTTACAGATTTAACAACAAAGGACAATGCTGATGACAAGGAAAATGAAACTGATTCCTCGGACAGAGCGGTGTTGACACAAGAAATGTTTTTTGCTTTAAATAGTATAACTCCACTATTGTTCATCCAATCTTCATGAAATTTTCTCAGAATAAAGAAAAGATGTAATACTAAAAATTTGTCTGTTGAATTTTTGAATGAAATAGATTTTTGTTGGTGGTGTCTGGAGTGTGGATTTCTACGGATTTTTTGAAAACTTGAATGCTACCTCAGGAAAAAATTCATTAAAAATTTTCCGTTTAAGAAAAAAACAGACAAATTTTTAGATCTAAGGTTTGTGAACACGCATGCAAAAAATCATTCAATTTCCATTAGCGATAAGTGCGGTATTCATTACGTAAGACATGTCAACAAAATTCAATATGGCCGCCGTATCCATGGAAACGAAACTTTTTTTCAAATTTGATTTTATGGATTTAAAGTTAAAGACTCCTTACTATGCTTGTTATATGTGTGAAATTTGGTAAAATTCGGTCCCCTAATAAGCAAGATAGCCTTCAGGTGTAGCCCCCCCCTAATAAGATCAATGTCCAGCACAAGAACCAGACTACACCCCAGACGAAGTCAAGCACCACCAGGCAGCCCTGCACTTAGGAGGACACGCTACAGCATTTTAGCATGTTTGTTTTGTCCTAGTGCAGGGCTCTGTCCCTGCACTTCACTCCGCCGTCTGGGAAGAAGAGCCGAGAAGCGGTCCGACTGGACTGCGACAGCCCCCAACAAGACCACCATTACCACCCGAGATGTCTCACCACACGACGGACTGCTCGTTCGGCGACGAAGGTCCTGATCCGCTCCCCTCGGGAACCTTCACCGTCACTCTCACGGGCCGGTACTCCGCCACTGTTCCCGCCGCCACCATCATGCAGCGCATTAATGGAACCCACCCCGACCTGCGGCTCAAGAAGTACAACTGTCTCCAGGATTTTTACACTTAGATCTACCTGTCCCCGTCGTTTTATGCAAGAAAAATTCTGAAATTATGCAAACTGAGCCCAAAAATGTGAAATTATGCGATTCTGTTAATTTTAACAAAGAATGATAAAGGAAAATAATCAGAAATTATGCAAAAAATTATCAAATTTTGCTAAATTATGCGTGGTGCATAAAACCACGGGGACAGACTTACACTACACCCTTCACCTTGCGCTGCAGCCGGGATCTGACTTCACGGCCCTGCACGCCACCGCAATGAACGACGTGGCGGAGGGAACGGACGCCCTCCTCTAAATCACCGGTCGTGAGAGACGGATACTTACACACTGGGTTCCCGTCACGTTCACCCAAGAACATACATATTAAGAAAGTAGAAAGTCGCCAGGACCTTTGTCAAGCCGGACTCGACGATTGACTTTCCTCCCCAGGAGGTATGGGTCTGACGACCGACCCACCATCCTGCCAGAGGCCGACCCACCATCCTGGCAGAGGCCGACCCAACCGACATTCCCCACTACGTGAGGATCTCGGGCTGCGGGCCGGACTCCTCAACATCATGATATGGTCACCATTCCTGGGCGCCGCATTGCCTGCCTCCACTGCGCCCGGGTAGATGGCTACAGCAGCAAATGTCCGGCCCGCAGGGCTGACGACACAGACGAAACTCCCACCACCATGACCACCCCCACCACAACAGGACCAACGATGTATGCCTGAAAGTGAAAGGCCGACACCCCACCCAACCAACGACGAGACAACCGCCCACCGACACTGCTTCCACCACCGCCACTGTTGCAGCTGCAGCTGCAGCCACCACCGCTCCCATGACCACCGCCATAATACATATATATATGATATACATGTATATAACCAAATCACCTACCAAGACACCAACTAAGAATTTAGAGTTGACGAACTTCCCGATAAAGAGAGCTCATTTTTTGGCCGCAATAGCTTTTCGGCTTCTCTCCTCTGATGATGGTTTTGTATAATAATATGACCTC